TCATTTTTTATATTTATTTTTTTAGAAATATGATTGATTTTTAAGTTCAGTTTTTTTCTCTTGCGTTTATTTTAAAAGAAAAATAATTTTATTATTTATCATTCTAAATATATGATAAAAAAATATGTTTAAATATCATTTTATTCGTTGATTATAGATGCAAAGTCAACATGGAATACCCCATCAAACATATAACGCAGGGTATGCCCAAAGAGGACCAATGGCCGGAATGGGGCCAGTCGGAATGAATAATTTCAATAGTATGGGTACGATGAGTCCAATGCATTCTATGAATTCCATGAATTCGATGAACAGTATGAATAGTATGAACTCGATGAATCCTATGTCGATGGGAGGTATGAACGGTATGAATAGTATGAACGGAATGACTCCCATGAACTCTATGAGTAACATGGGTAATATGGGCATGAACAATATGATGGGACCTAACAATATGCAAATGAATAAGATGAGCATGCAAGTACGTAAAATTTTATAATTTTTTTTATATCTTCGATATAAAATAGAATTATCGATTTAATAATATAGATGCATTATCTTAATTATCTATCTGATGTATCTTATAATTGATATATATTTACAGGCTCAACCTCATCAAGGCTATCCAAGGAGATTAGCACCTTATCCAAATCCTGCTATGCATATGGCACAAAAGAGACAACAAAATCCATATTCAAATCCAAATCCAGCTACGATGCAACCAGCCTTCAATGGCATGTCATCATCGCAATATCCGGCCAATTATCCTGCTGCAGCAAGGCCGAACTTTCAACCTCAGTATCAGCCTATGCAAAATATGAATCCATCGGCTGCTGGTTTTGGGCCTAACTCTATGATACGGAGTAGTAATATGAGGCAAACTACGCCTTCATACACTCCCAATCAGACAGCGAATAACCAATATTATAATAGCAATGGTATACCAGTTAGTATGGGACCTACAACGGTTGGAAATCAATTTGTTGGTCATCAACCAAACTCAGGATATGCCGGTAATACATCTTCGTATGGTACAGCTGGTGTTGCAACCAGTCAATATCAACAAGATGTTGCATCAATGAGAACGACAGGCACAGGGAGTCTAAATTATCAACATAGTCCTATTCCTGGTAATCCAACTCCACCATTGACGCCAGCCACCAGTATGCCTCCCTATATCAGTCCGAATCCAGATATTAAACCTAATTTCAATGAAATAAAATCACCAATTAATATTCAGAGTAAGTTGAAATGTTTTTATTGTTATTTTAATAATAAAATAAATTTAAAGTATTATATTAAAAATATTTAATTATGAGCACATTTTTTTAATCAACTTCGATTATATTTATTTTTCACAATTATAAATGTTTTAATCTTTTAGTTTTTACATTTTTAAATAAATTAGGATATTGATAAATTATTTTTTTTGTTATATATAGAAGATGATGAATTACGATTAACATTCCCCGTAAGAGATGGCATTATTCTTCCACCCTTCCGCTTAGAACATAATCTGGCTGTAAGCAATCATGTTTTTCAATTAAAACCTACGGTACATCAAACATTGATGTGGCGATCCGATCTGGAACTGCAACTCAAGTGTTTCCATCATGAAGATAGACAAATGAATACAAATTGGCCAGCAAGTGTACAAGTCTCTGTGAATGCTACGCCATTAGTTATCGATCGTGGTGAGAATAAAACATCTCATAAGCCTTTATACCTGAAGGACGTTTGTCAACCTGGAAGAAATACGATACAAATTACTGTATCGGCATGTTGTTGTGTAAGTTTTTTTTATAATTATTCATATTTTATATTATTCATATTTAAAATTTAATTTTTATAAAAGAAAAATAAATAAATTTTTTTATAATTTGCAGTCTCATTTGTTCGTACTTCAATTAGTTCATCGACCAAGTGTAAGAAGTGTACTTCATGGATTATTACGTAAAAGATTACTTACAGCAGAGCATTGTATTACTAAAATTAAACGGAATTTTAATAATACCATTTCAAATAATGGTATACAATCGGAGAAAGATGTCGTAGAACAAACAGCATTAAAGGTAAATATTCAAGAGTATATATTTAAAATTATAACATCTATAACTATATCTATTTTTTAAATTAATTATTTATTAAATAATTTTATTATAGGTATCCTTAAAATGTCCTATTACTTTTAAACGTATTACACTGCCAGCTAGGGGACATGACTGTAAACATATTCAGTGCTTTGATTTGGAATCATACTTACAACTAAATTGTGAACGAGGATCTTGGCGATGTCCTGTATGCACGTAAGTTATTTTTTAATAATTTTAGATTTAATTATAAAGTTAATTTCAATCAAATTTATTATATTCATATTATATTCATATTATATAATTTATTTATATTATATTTATATTATATTATATTATAATTTATATTATATATAGAAAACCTGCACAACTGGAAGGTTTAGAGGTTGATCAATATATGTGGGGTATTTTAAACACTCTGAATACTGCAGAAGTAGAGGAAGTTACGATAGATTCAATGGCAAATTGGAAACCAGCAAAAAATTTAGCTAATATTAAATCAGAAGAAGAAAGTGATTGCAAAAGAATGACAAAGGCAATGTCACCTGGAAGTATGAATATGCCTACTATGAATAATTGGGATATGAATCAAGCAATGAGTCCATACATACCACCTGATATGAGTAGCATTGTAAGTGGTTCTATGATGAATAATACTTCAACTACATATGGAAATAATATCAATCATCGGAATTCATCGGGAGGATCTTTCGATATTAATTCTGGAACAAACACGAATACTAGTAATGATTATACTAATGGAGCATCAGGACCTCTTTCGCACTTAAACGAATCAGTGAATTCTTTAGATCCTCTTAATGCTATGGAAAAATCACTTAATGATCAAGTATGTTTATAAGTTTAGAATTATTGAACTTCGTAATTGCATGCAATATATATTAATCATTAAATATTTTATTATTCCTATATATATTAATATTTTATTTCTAGATGCCGCATACACCTCATACACCTCATACGCCTCATACGCCACATACACCAGGTGGTGGAAACAGTGGTCCACCAAGTGTTCCTCCAGCATCCCAGGAATCTACTGGAAATCTTAATACATCTGGTAATACAAACATAAACAATGATACTGCGGATATACCATCGGATTTAAATTTTGATCCAGCTGCAGTAATAGATGGTGAGGGTACAGGTCAAGAAGCTCTAAATGTAAGTAATAATTTTAATTTTTTTAATATTTAAATATTTTAACATTTATATAAGGTTAAAATTTAATTTAGGATTTATTTATTTTTTTTATATATTTTTTTTATTAATCAATAGATTTTGAGTAGAATCCAATGATACCAATTTTAATTTCTTAGAAATTTTTCTTAGAATATTAAAAATTATAATTTAAATAAAATGATTTATGTTGATCTATTTTGTACATAAGAGATAAAATATAAAATTAAAAAAAATGTAAAATATATAAAATAATTCTTAAATAAATCGAGTGTAAAACAATTTAACTTCAACAAATAAAAATTTAATTACAATTTTATTTTTAATGTATAGAAAAAGCTACATTATTTACAGTTCTGTTGTACAGTTAATATGTCAAGATTCTCTATATCTTTTTTTATTATTATTTATCTGTTTTTTATCCTCACTATAACATATATTTATCTCATCTGTATAATTTATTTATCTTATTAAGCATGTATGTATCAAGAATGTATTTATAAATATTAAACTGATATTTTTGGATTTTATTCATAAATCTATCAAATTATAAAAAAAATAAATAAAAAATAAATGGTTTTCTTCATTTTTCAAAAAAATTTCAGCTTTAAATAAATATTAATTTTTATGATGTAAGTATTCATTATTTATTTTTTATTATGTTATGTTATAGCTTTTGCCAGATAATGTTGTGGATCCAATGGAATTACTTTCATATTTAGATCCACCAGATCTAAATACTCCACCTAGTAGTGGCGCTAGCAGTGGTAATCCTTCATCGAGTGATGATATATTAGCACTTTTCGAATAAAAATTAATGGGCATCTCATAAAAGAAATAATCAAATTATGACCCTGATCTTAAGGAACAAAATGATATCGAAAAATTTGCATCCTAATACAGATATATTTCTAATCGAATGAAATTATTTGTAGTGAGCAATTTCAAAAATTGGGGTCGTTATTGGGTGCTCTCACCTAATTCAATGGTACAAAAAATTTTAGCTCTAATTATAATATTCCTATCGACAAAGTTAGGGCATATTATTAGATTTAAAGACAATGACTTTTAATTAATAGGTAAAACAAAGTATGTAATAATGCTTCTTGGTAAAGATGTTATTGCATGGATAATGTTATTTCTTGATTATTCAAAATTTTTATTTCTAAATCGCACATAAATATAATATTGTACCAAACATATATTTTAAATTATTGCAATTACATCACAATTATATTAATTGTGCTCAAAAACAATGATACTTGAATTTTTTAATATCAGATATAGAATATTTTACATATATTAATGTTATAAAAAAAAGGTTTGTTTGATAAATGTGAAATACGATTAATTTACATACATTTTATACATATAACATATATATTTTATCGCATATATTTTATATATTCATTTATTTTTCATTCCAAAATAAGTTTTTTACATAGATAATGTTCAAAAAATATATAATAGAATAGAATTTATTTATATTGTGTTTGATACAATGAATTGATAACTTTTAATGATTTACATAATTTATATTTATAATTTAATAGATTTTTAATAGATTTTAAAAAATCGTATAGCACATTTATAAAATCTTATATATTGGAAAAATAAATTTTGAAATCAATATATACATAACATTGGAATAATTTTAGAAACCTATCTATATTAATATTATTATTATAAAATATCATACATACATACTATTAAAATTTAAAATGATTTTAACAAATTTATGATTTTAGAATATTTGCTTGAAAAAAATATGTATTCCTCTTGTTATAAAGACTTCATTATGTTTAAAATTTTCCTTGCAATATAATCTTTACTTCAGAATCGGTCTACTCGCATTCAAGGCTATGATGGACCTACATCACAACAGAATTATAATTGTACACTTGTAAATAAGTTTTAATTAAAAAAAATAGATAGAATATTCATCTGTTGTGAATTACTCTGCTTCTTGATGGATATAGCATATATAGTGTTCCTTTCCTTTAGATGATTAGTGACAACAGATAAAGAAGAATGAGGGCATATCGGGCTTCACACTGGGAATTATGATGTATCTCTTGAGCTTTTAAAAAAATATATAATTCCAAAATATTTAAATTATGTTTCATAAAATATTTCTTTTTTATTTTTTATTCTATTATGTATTATTCTATCTGTTATAATAAACATTATAATTTTATTTATGTGGAAATTAACTTGATATTGAATTTATTGATAATGAAATTAAAATCGCTATATCATTAATGATATTATATATAAAATTCAATATAATTATATACAAATTAAAAAAAAATACACAAGAAAATATTTGATTTTTTTTTCTTTTTCATTACAAAAAATATTTTTATTTTTTTAAAGATTTCATTAAATTGTTATAATATAAGAATAACAAAATATTTTTATATAATATAAAATCTCTGAAGGTACATCAAAACTTATATATATATAACTTATATGTATAACTTATAGCTAGCAGTTATATATATAACTTATATAACTATATAGTTATATATATAACTTATATGTATATGTATATTCAGAATGTTAACATATTCATGAGATATCTTTGGAAGATTAATTTTAGAGAAGTTGATATGAAAAAAATGTCAACTAGCTTTTCTTTTTTAAATTAAGTTATAAATAAGTTATAAATATATAGTAAATAAATAATTGAAATATATTAAATGAAATAAGAGAGAAAAAGAGTTTTGTTTCTGTTATATTGCTGTTACATTCTGTTTTTATCTCACTTCACTTAACAAAAACTTAAATTATTTACAATTTAATAAATATTTTCCATCGACATTTATATCAACTTTTTTATTTTGATCTTTAAAATAGACTCTCCAAAGATGTTCTACAAATATATTAACAATCTATATACACTTTTATATATATATATTATATAGAATTTATTTTCACATTTTAATTAATTAAAAAAGATTTATATTAATAATTATCTTAGTAATTATGTTAATAATAAAATATATATATCTTTTATCCTATTTATGATTTTTTTATTAAAAATTTTATTAGAAACAATTTTATATTATCAAAACATTTATTAAAATTGAATAATAAATTATAAAAAAACATTTTATGAGAAATCAACTTTTTACATGAAGAATTAGTATGAGAAAATAAATTCTATATAACATAAATTAGCACAAATTCTCAAAAGAACTGATTTTCGTTTAACGAAATTTCAGATAAAAAATATATGTATGATACTACTGCCAGAGTGAAACCGCCCATGGCCCCCAGCTTATATAGTAATTATTACATTTATATCTTTTGTGATTAAAAGAGAAAATATATACTTAAAGTGATTCATGTAGATTATACAAATTTTATATAAAAATGTATTTATATTCCAGTGTGCAACAATAGTGCACATTGACGAATTAGATGCGGTCAAGTTTCTATTCGTATAACTTAATTATAATATTATTAATAATACGATAATAATAATACTTAATTAAGCGAGATTATTGTATATTACTTGTATATATGATAAATAGATTAATAATATAAGAAAAGTGGCAGATACTTATTGGCCAGTTATAATAATAAAATAATTATCTTAATTATTTCTCAGAACCAAAACATACAAGCATTGTATGAGAATACTTTAAAATTAGAAAATAAAACATGTAAATGAACATAGGATAATAACAGTTCAAATATTGCACTGTTATTTCTAATAGAATTATTACTTACTTATTAAAGACATAATTATCAAAAAAGTTTATTCAAATTATAAGCTTTACTTAGGATTGCCAGAAAATAGGCATGTGCAACAATTGTTGCAATTGTATATAGACAAATGTCTACCTATACCTACTTAATAATATCCTAAAATACATGATACACGGTCTTGGTTTAGAAGTTGTAGAGTTTTATAAATATCTGGTAAATTAGCACAATATTTTTAATTTTTGTCAAAAGATATGAATATATATTAAATAATATATGAGAAGAAAAATAAGGATAATAAATATCAAATTTACTGTGACATTAGTTAATTAAGTTATATATTTCATAATAAATTTTGCTCATTTAAATATAAACAATTTTGTATTGAAGAAATTTAACTTTTACAAAGAAATATTAATATTAATTAAATGTATTTGCAACATACATATTTTAAAATCAATTTCAATTTTAATAATCTAATAATATTTCAGATTATTATGAATCTCTACAACTTTATAATTATATACCTATTTATCTATTGTTAGGAGGCCTATGATTTGAATCTACAATGCGTCGCAAAAGACTTAAATGATCAAATGTCATATGTGTTGTCTTGTCCAAGACCTAAAAAGTTTCATTAAGAAAATAAAATATTTTCATGTAATATGACACGGCTGTACCTACTTATGGCATATTGAATGTATTCAATGAATCCAATGAAGCTTAAAGCTGTTAATAAGCATTTATAGACGAACAATAATTTCATTTTGTTATATCAATATGTATATTATTAAATTTCTTAAAAATTTAACGTTAGTTTAGATAATCAGTTTTAAATATTATACATATTATAAATATTCATAACTTTTTTAATTATTCACAAAAACTGGACATGGACCAACTTTTGATTATATATGGTATTTATAGTAATCGATTAAATTTCGGAAATAAAAAAAAGTGTTCGTATATTTTGAGTATCTAAAACATCAAAAGCTGTGCAATTTACTTTAACATAATTTCATAAATATAAAAATATAGAAATGTTTTAAGCATTGCCAAAGAAAATAGAAATTGAAACTATATAATAACCGAAAGAACTTAGTTGTAATCACAATTATAAGTTAAACAGGATAAAAAAACGGTCACAATTTTACTAACGAAATTAGAAAAAAACTTTCATTATTAGGTAATTATTCTTTTTAATTATATAAAAAAACATAAATTAATTATATAATTAATTAGTATTGTGTTTTGGAGATGTTTCAAGTTTTTTTTTTTATTTCAGTAAATTATGTGACCAATTTTTATTCTATTAGTAAGAATGTTTTTATATCAATAAGATTTTTATAAATCTACGATTATTACCTGAAGTTTTTCATAAATTGTTCAAATATTTCATAGATAAATCATAATGTTATATTAATCAATATACATAATATATGTATTTATCATAATCGCCATAAGTGATTGGTACAGATTTGTGTAAGAATAAAAAATAATACAAAAGTGTACGTTACAAAAAATACTAATATCATTGGTTGCATTCATGTAAAAAATTTTAATACACAAAGACCAGTTTATAATATGTATGACAGACATCACATTGTTTCTCGATAACAGTTAGAAACATTCAATAAAAAAGTCATAAAATATTGAACGTTTTATATTCTTTTTAGATCATTTTTCCTATAGATCAATTTATTGAAAAAAATATATTTTAAAAATAGAATTATTGCAAATAAATAAAATTCTTATGAAACAAAACAAATTATTGTTATATTATGCAGAAAACATTCAATAATTCATCTTGGATTAAAGAATAAGAATAATTTTTATATTTTTTTTATATTTTTTCATTGTGATTCATAATATAAATAATATATATGCACAAAAAAGATTATTTTATTTATATTATTTATATTATTTAATTTAAATTTAATACTTATTTATATTTATATTGAATTTTATAAAAATACTTATATATATATTTGGATAAATTAATTAAAATATATTGCATTAATATTATAATTATTTAAAATAATTAAAAAGTTATTAATTAAGTTTTATTTA